CATTTGTTTTACTCTTATATCCCCATCATTACTTTAGGTTTTATTCATGTCATAGCGTTCCTTTACCTCCTTCACCAAAGGATTTTCAAGCAAACTGCAGTTTACCTCAAAAAGATGGGGACACCAAACTTAAGCTTTTTGTTCTTACAAAAAATCCTGGTATCCCAGTTTGGGTCTCAACCTAAAGTCTGAGCCACCTCAATCTTTACAACCAGTATTTAAATTAGTTCTTCATTGTGATTTTACAGGGCCTGCTCTCACCTAAAAGTTAGTAAACTGAAAGCAGGACTTATAAGCAGGCTCCAACATATGCTGGAAACTACTTTAAGGTTTTTATTCTGAGTCCTCAGGAAGCACTGAAACATAGGGTGCCAAACTATGAAGATATCAGCTTCAGCTCTGAAAGCAGAACTCTCACCTGCCCCATCCAGCACACCACATTTTCAGCCAGCCCTGTAAGTTTATCTGGCTTCAGCTGGTGTCTTATCATTTAGGAACACCTGATGCATGATTAGAGTCTTTGCTGTGATCTTTTAGGACACATTACTTCAAAGCACAAGCAGCTACAGAGGCCAGTAATGGCTTGTTTTATTGCTTGCTAAGAAAATGTAAAACATGTAATGTCCACAGTATGGGTACAGGCACACAAAAGGCTAAATCAGGAGTCTCGAAACCTTCCAAAGGGCCAATTTACTGTCCTTCAGGCTTTAGGGAGACCGGACTGTGACCGGTGGGAGTAGAATATACCCCAACCTCAGTAATAGTAAAGTGCCCCAAGATCAGTGATAGTAAAATGCCCCGTCATTGAGAGTAAACAATGCCCCATCACTGGTTTTAGTGGGAAGAACAGTGTTGGTATCGGTGGGAGAAATGGTGTTGCATCATTTATGTCTGTGGAATGAAAAGCGACCCAAGGGCTGGATAAAGGCAGGAAAATGGTTTGTCTGTGACACAAACTACCATATTATTTTATTTTGCCCAAAATACATATACTAAGATCCGTAAACAAGGACATTGTATTGGCTGTAACAGAAGGTGAAGGTGGGGTCTACTTATACATTTTTCATACAGAATTCCCACATTTTTCTACTTGGATTCAATTGGTGAAATGTGTCAATCCTGGGTCAAATTTGTGTGAATCTTGGATGAAAACATATATAAACAGGCCCCTAAATATAAAATGAAAATGAAGTTAGTAAAGATGCCTACAGAAAGACAATAATGCAGAATTATGCGGTGCTTCACTAGACATGAGTTCAGGCTTTATTTCTGAAATTTTCATTACACAGACAAGGAGAATGCAGAAAATACAATCAACTCCCATCAGAGTAAAAAATGGAAATCATTATGGAAGTCATATCCGGCAAGCACACCCACAGAGTACCTTGGCACATGCATACAGATAAAAATCAACAAAGCAATTAAGCTGAAAAAAAAATCCAAAAACAACAACAAAAGTTTTTCCTCTTTTAAAAGCTTGAGTGCTAATTAAGCTAGTTTGCATTACAGATAACAAGACTGCTTTACAGAATGGCTCTTCACTTATAAAGACAGAGACAATGAATGAGCCAGTAGTGGTCCTGATGCTGATCTTTCATCATGGCACCATCTAAGAGAGATTGAGCAAACACAGTGTGATCCTTGCAAGTAGTACACTCAGATTACTGCAATGACTGAACAAAAAATGCCTTTTAGGAGGCATTAACAAGTGATGAATATTGTCAAAAGGAGCTCAGACTGCATACTTTTTCCTATTTGTTGGAAAACCTCTGTACCAACAGATGTCAATCATTCCCTTTGATGTGGAGAAAAGGGAATAACTAGTTCCCTGCACACATGCCACTAACAACTACTGAGTGAGAGAAACATGAAGTATACATTTGGAGCAACAACAGTGTCAAGGATAATATAATGTCTCACTTACTGACATTGTTAGGACAGGGAACTGAGGGCATGTGCCCCAGGTCAGTAATATCTATTCGTGTACAATTGCATATTTGCAGGTCAACCGTGCCTATGCAGGAACACCTACATAGTGGTATTGTTCCTGTAAAAGCATACCACAGAACAATGAGGAGGCTGAGGAAAGTCCACTTAGGCCCATCCTCGGTTCTGACATATCATATGACACAGTCGAAGGGAAAACTGAAAGGACTTCCCCTAAACCCATACCATGTGCCACTCTGCACCATACTCCTAAAGGTAAAAAACAACACTAAGTACCCGCACGTCCGTGACAAATCATTATGTATTAAGATAAATAATGCTGCTGTTCCTGAGGTGAAAATACCTTGCACATAAATATCAATAACACAGCGCAAAATTGTATAGTTCTCACAGACCTGAGAATGCCCCGGATGAGGGGCAAAACTCGTCAACGTAATTTTCGTTTTCTGCCATGTCTTCGTTACATCACGTCCGATGAATGGAGTGCATGATAGCAGCGGCGTTCCGGAGCCATTGTTGCCGACACAGTATTTCACTGATGTGGGAAAGTCACGGAGCATTGACAATTTTAAAGCTTTTATATTGCATGCAACATGTGAGTGCAATATGTACTTTTGCTTCGTTTAATAAATAAATGTTACAGGATTACACTATTAGTGTCCCTTTTGTTTTTTACATCTTTCCTGCCTGCTAGAGGAATATGGCAAAGTATTGAGGAAGTATACTGAATCCTGGTTATGTCTGAGAACACACCTCACCAGTAAAAGCCTTGTTGACTCTTAAGCCATACAAGCTAAGAATCCATCATATCTGGTGAGTGTGGAGTGTATTAGAAGGTGACTGCGGAGCACTGTGGGGTGATATTATTCAAAGAACACATCTTGTTTTGGCACAAATTTTTGATTGGAGCACTCAATCACTATTGTGTTTGGGACAGTGGCCTTTTATCACTTTTGGAAATTTTGTATATATAATTTTGTGCTGTGTTGATTATTTATACCCCTAAAGGTGTCTAAGATAATTTACAGTCCTAAGAATGCCCCGGGTCTTACTGTTCTCTGTCAGCTGCTTATCTATTTCCAGTCTTTGGCAACGTGATTTCTACTCTAGACAGACCTTTAGTACATTTGTCCTTGAATCATTTATCCCTGTCCACCTAAGTGCTTCCTATCTAGACAAATACTTTCCTTACTCCTCAATGCAGCGGTCTTTAATGTGCAGTCCTGCCCATATAGCCTTTCCATTGAAAGCATCCTCTTTTTAGTGCACAGGCATTGAGCAGCCCCAGTCATTCCTATGGGTACCCAGCACTCTGCTGGTGGCCATGAATATGGCTTACCAATACGAAGGAATACAGGTGTAGTGCTCATGTACTGAGTGGAGGGCCCAGTGAAGACACACTTGCTGAAAAAGCTGTAACACAAGGCTGCACAGGGAAGAATGCTGGATGGAGGAAGAAAGCAAGTATTTGCTCAAGTGAGCAGCATTCAAGGGGTGGAGAGAACAACTGCACCAAAGAAAGCCCTGTTGACCCCAAAACAGACACATAACCTGCCAGGGCTACCTCTTTGGCAGAAAGATATCCATTTGGATGTTGAAAAAGCAAGAATGTTAGATTACCCCACATCAGGATATGTCTAGATCTTTTGAAGATACAGCTATTCTGTCAAAAATGTGAATATGCTCCAATTTATACAGGAAAACGAGAAGTAAATCGATAAAAAGGAGTAACTGCTAAAGAAACTACCACCAATCATGTAACCTACCAAATACAAACCATGTAACATTACAAGGAAGATAGGAGATAATATTATACATGCCCCAAAAATAACTCAAATATGAATTTTACATGCATTTATAGAAATTACTATCATAACCAGATATTTTATATACAAAAAAAAAATAAACAGTTTACTCACCAATCTGTAATGTACATCTGCATCAAAGTTTTCAGATTGCTCATAGGACAGACTATATCATTACCAATAATGGCAACATTCTGGTCGTACATGTGCAGGATGCAGACCTCAGACTTACGGGGTAACAGTCAGATTGAAAGTGGTTGAGGAGGAAAGATAGGTTTCAATTTACAAGGAAGTCGGTCAAATGCTAGCATATGGTTCTGGTGTGAGCTGGGCGATACTGCATTAATCTTTTCATAGTAAAATGATAAATATCATATACTTAGAGCTGTATCTGTCATCATGGCAAGTGATAGGACAGCTCCTTGGGACTAAGCCAGACAAACTAGAGTCATTGTTTTCTTATTTAGTTTTGCTCTTCTGTCTACCTTTGGACAGTTGTGGCTAAATTCAGCAAAAGAATTTTATGGGAGGAGGGGTTGCCAGAGATGTTCAGAGAAGTAAGAGGACTTAAAGGATAAGTACACCTTTGGAACCTGTTACATGTTCCACCTGTTTTTTGGGTGGAACATGCAACATGTTTCAGCAGTTGCAGTCTCTCTCCTTGTGACAGCAGGTGGGGATCTTCTCCCAGCGCCCAATGTCACAATTTGAAAACAACGCAGTTGTACAAGTTCTGCCCACATGGCTGCTTCATTCATTCATTCACAGCTTCCTGTGAATAAATGCCTATAAGTACCATCAGCCATTGCAACTGGCTTGTAGTTCTCAATGAACTGAGAGGGCGCTAGTGAGCACTCTCACAGCGCATTGATCTTCCTGCTTTCAGGTAACTGCCTGCCCATACGAAGTAAAGGCAGAGAGCTATGCAGAGAGCCTGCAAAAGTCTGAAATTGCACCCGGAACCAGGCTCCTCAGAAAAACAAAATTAAATAAATGCGCATTTATTATTTGTTTTCAGAAGGTGAACTTATCCTTTACCCACTTCCCGACCGCCCTGTAGCAGAAAATACTGTTATAGGGCAGCACAGATGCGCAAAATTACATATATATATATGTGTGATTTTGCATTTCCGGGTAGGGGCGCGCGCACAAAACCCTACCCACACCACCCTTCGAGGCCCTCAAACACTGGGTCCCCGGGCCGGTGATTACTCAACTGCGTCCGGTGATTACCGAGGATCTCCAATGGGGAGAACTGTTTTGTTTACGAACAGTTCTCCTCCCTGTCAGCTCAGGCACACTGCTTTGAATGGCTGTACACGGCACAGCCATCCAAAGCAGTGTGCTTACAGTGAAGCACACATACACTGCCACACAGACACTGCCACTGTAAAACACTCCCAGCACACAGTTAACTCTTTGATCGCCCCTAATGTTAACCCCTTCTGGCCCAGTGCCATTAGTACAGTGTCAGTGCTTTTTTTTTTTTTTCTAGCACTGATCACTGTATTGGTGTCACTGGGGATGTCAGTGACACCAACTCAGTCCCCCACAGTGTCAGAATGTCGCCGCAGTCCCGCTAGAAGTCACCGATCGCTGCCATTACTAGTAAAAATTTTTACAAAATCCCAGTATATGTACCGTTATTTGTAAACTCTATATCTTCCACGTAAACCAATTAATTTACACGTATTGGGACTTTTTTTTTTTTTTTTTTTAGCAAAGACGTAGCAGAATACATTTTAGCCTAAATTTAGGACAAAATTAGATTTTTTTATTTTTTTTACTGAACATGTTTAATACCAAAAAGTCAAAAATATAGTTTTTTTTTTCAAAATTGTCAGTTTTTTCTTTTGTTATAGCGCAAAAAATAAAAAACGCATGGGCGATCAAATACCATCGAAAGAAAGCTCAATTCGTGGGAAAAAAGGATGTAAATTTAATTTGGGTGCAGCATTGCATGAACGCGCAATTGTCAGTTAAAGTAACGCAACGCCGTAAAGCAAAAAATGGCCTAGTCAGGAAGGGGGGTAAATCCTCCGGAGGGCAAGTGTTTTAATAGAGCTCAAGAAACATGATGCCAATTCTTCCTCCTCATTTGCTGGTCTGTACAGTACAACTGTGAATATAAAGCAGACAGCAAGAAAACATTCTAGCATCCATTTTTACTAAAACGACTGCATGGCACAGGAGGCAGCAGTTACACAGAAGAGCATCATTGCTCATGTATGCCTGGGGCAACATTATGTCTTTATCGGCCCTGTACATACCATATGGGGTCAAATAAGAACTAACATTCCTACCCACTAATAAACATTTCTAAAGATCACCCTTTAAAAATGCAGTTGAACAGCCTTTTACTAACAGCTTGTTATCAAACTGTAGGCAAGAACACCTTTCTCAGGTTTGATGTAGGTGGTACCCTTCTGTTTTTTGGTGTGAGCTACTCTAACTCTTGTGTAAGCCCTTTGTTTATACCCAGGCTGGCCAAGGGGTCAAGCCCTGTGACTATTAACATTAATTATTATTACTAGCTATTATTACTAACACTGCAGTAAATTTGTGGACATCCAATGCACTTTAAAAATACAATTGTGCAACCTCATAGGTGCTTTTATATTCTGGAAACGGTTCTCTTACAGCAAATGTTGGTGTAAATGTAATGATGGAATGACTAAATGCTACAGTAACATTTTTTTTTATTATATTAACAAATGTTTATTGTAGTTTCAAACAGAAAAGCTTCTAACAATAAAAGAGGGACACCAGTTTCCAGCTCTGTTGCTAAGGCAGCAAAATGATCTGTAACACCCTGTGCGCAATCTTGTACATTTTTTTTAGTTAAATTGTAATGAAATATTTATTATTTTGTTGTCCCCTGGAAGGCAAAATCTGACAGAGGATTTAAAGTAATAGTAATAATGTCCATAAAACAGTATTATCCACCAAGCAATCTTCTCTATAAAATGGTTGCAGATGTCATGGATCATTCCCTCTGTTTCCAAAACAATTGTTTATTTTATGTCTCAAGAGAAGAAGAAATGTAAATAGCATCATTTTCATATACAAATATAAGCAAATTGCCATCTCCCACTGTTTAAAGTGATCCCGCTATTTAGACACACCGTGACTTTTTTGTGGTACTGTATTTGGCAGTGGCACTTTTCGGTGCGGTTCTGGTGCTCACAGGATAGGTAAATATTATTTAGGCTAACAGAAAACTTTGCAGGATGATAATAATTTTAAATGTTCGTTTAGTGGGTTAATTTTGGGTTTAGTAAAGAGTTGCTTGTGGTAGGTGAGGTAGTAAGTTGTGTTAGTAAGGAGTGCCATGGTTAAGTGTGACCGTTAAACGTTTTAGATAATATCTAAGAGGGCATGATGGTTTCCTGAAAAATTTACATTTTTGTTTGGCTGCAAAAGTTCTGCATCATCTGTCTAATATATTGTTATTCTGCAGTGGAAGTTGTTATTCTAGGCACAAATATTCCATGCATTCTTTGCAACTTTCCTAAGAAAAGGATCCCAAAAACTTTTTTAAAATTAGTTTTCGATAGTGAGAAGAATTAGAACTTCTGTTACCTCCTGCCCAGTAAAAAGTTAATTAGAGATTGGCTCCAGGCAAATAAAAAATAAACAAAGTAATGCAGACTAGAAAAAAGGGGCCACTCCCCTGAAACGCATTGTCCTGGCAAGCGCCAAGGCATCCTGTGTGTCATCAACAGTGGCCTCCGGTTTCTATTTCCAGCAGTGCAGCCAGCTTTTTCCATAGCTGTACGGATGTGGAGAGTCCCCAGCACCCCAAGGGTTGTCTACATTCTTTTAGTGTTTACAACCTTGACCATACACAGTACATGCTGGCGTGGGGATCAGGAGGCCTGTGTGGACACTGTAGGAGGAGCAAGGCAGGAAGATTTGTTTGATTGTGTTTTTTATGATATGTTCTCATCACATATGAGTATACTGAATTATTATGCTTTTATTATTATTAAAGAATTTACTGTTCTAGGGCACCTACACTCCCTGTTTTTTCTATTTTATGAATAGTTTCTTTTGTAAGTACCCTGAAATAAATGTGAATATTCTTTTGCTGTCCCTGTACAGCAGGGTTCAGATGGGGATTGGGGGGAGGGCAGCAGCACAAGAAGCTAAAACAGTGCTGCAGGGCAGGGAGTATGCTGATAGCAGGAGAGAGCAGAGTGATAGAACATCTTATTAGTTGGATAGTTTTCGTTTCACTGTCTAGTCACAGGGTTTGGTGGGGAGGAGACCTGTACGTTGTACTGAATGGTAGCATAGAAAAATCAGGTCTCCTCTCTTTTCAGACAGGGCAAAGCCTCTTGGATATGCTCTAGTAGTAAATTTTACTAAATGCAGTTGAGTAAAGAAATGAAAAATAACAAACTGATTACCATCTTCCACTGCATCTTTTGTTTGCAGAGTTTATTATCATGCAGGGCAGAAGCGAGCTACCACTGGCTTCCTAGATGAACTACATCCACTACTGTGTAAGGCCAAACTCCTCATGTTTTCAGTAGTGCTTACAGAGCACTCCCCATTCTTGAAGGGGAAAGCAATCTGATCTGTAGTCATCTAACTGAAGGATAAGTCAAGGTGATTATGAAGAATCTGCAATAAAAGTTCCCAAATTAAAAGCGACTGGAAATGAGACTGACTTGAAATCAGGAAATCGTTAGCGAGGTTGGAAATGAACGTTCAAAGAGCATAATGGGAAACCATCTGAGAATACTGATGCTGTTATATACCTTTCTTGGGGAATTGCTATTTACTTAGGCAGAGGGAGGGCTAAGCAGTACAGATGATTGCATTTTATTAGGCTTGTTAACTCTTTGTGACACAACAGACACTGTACTGATTCTCATCTCAAGTCAATCTTCTGCAGGCCATAAAAACAGGCTTTCTTCATTTCTTTCCATAAGATTTAGGATCTTCCCTTTACACAGAGACCTTGGGGACTGAGAAAACAAGCAAGTATCTGGCACTGTGATGAGTTCACAAGTTTGTCTTGACAGAGATGTTCCTTTAGTCTCCAAGGCCAGAATGAAGCAACTATCATTCTCTATTCAGTTCTACAATCAATACAACTGACCTTTCTAAGAAAAGAAAAGGCTAGTTGCCAGGAGAGATTTCTGTCTAGCAAATATGTTTTGAGGGAACATCTACAAGAAAAAATGAAATGTACAACGTATTATAAAAGGAATATTGTACATGTGGAACTAGGTCATATTAAACAATTAACACCTCCCAGCAACATTGTTTTTGTTATTGGGTAGGTAGCACATTATCCACAAGTGGGTGGTTTTATTGCTGGCCTCATTATTACAATCTGATACCAAATTTGTTGGTGAATGTACTAAGTAGTACACAAATCTACCAAGACAGTTCAACAAATACCTAATAATGAGGCAGCCCCTTGTACTACACAGTACCTGGTAAATCTGAAAAAGATTGTACAATCGGATTGTAACAAGTGACCAGCACACAAGGCAACTTTTTGGATCAGTCAACCATATGGGTTGGATTAGAGTTAGAAATGTGTCTTGGAGAGTTTTCCAGTATTTAGTGGCAGAACACCAAAGCTTTAACTGTACAACTACCTCCAGTTTGTTCCTATGCCCTGGTTTTGTATATAAAAAACCTGTCTGACTACCTTTAAAGCCCAATTTCCCTCTTTTTAATTGTATATTTAATTACATTTGCTTTTCTCAGAGCAGCCTTTGCATCTTCACTGTACTGGTTTCCTTTATCTGTACATCTCTTTCGTGCTATTACACAATTTACAGGTGCACAGATTTAATGCTGCTATGCAGTATCACGTACTATGCAGTGCCTTGTAATCAGCCTGTTACAGGTCTCAAAAGATGCTCCCAGGAGTACGGTAACAGAGCAGGATATTAAGCAAGGATAAAAGGAATTGAAAAGTTCTCGTTGGAATTTATGATTATCCATAAAGGGCCTAAGGGATCTGCAGAAACAAGGTGAAAAGGGAAGTGAGAACAGACTTGAGAGAGGACAATTCAAATGCTCACTAAGGGACAACTGTCAGCCAAATGGTTCTAAGCTAAACTAGATTTCATAATATGGATTGTTTCTTATCTGGAAGACGAGTAAGCTCTATATGTAACATTTTACATCAGTCTAGCTTAGAGGAGGATGTTTATACTGGATCATAAAATGTTTGCATTTGAAATTGGATCCCCTTAATACGGACAGTAAAGATGACTTGCATGCTATCAATCAATTGTATTAACAGAAAAAACAGGCTTAAAAGGAAAAGAAGTGTAGTATTCTTTATTGTTAACATTTCCAAGGTTTCCAATAACCAAACTAAAACAGAAGGTAGCTTTCTAGGCTAGTTCTAACACAAACTAGTTGCAGTGTTGCAACATGATCACTGGTGAAGCTACAGTTAGGTCCATATATATTTGGACACAGGCACAATTTTCATACTTTTGGCTCTGTATGCCACCAGAATAAATTAAAACAAAACAATCCAAATGAATTTGAAGTGCAGACTTTCAGCTTTAATTCAAAGAGTTGAACATAAATATCAAGTACAAATTTTAGGAACTGCAACCATTTTTATACACAGTC